ATTTATATTTGTTATATCTTGATTATCATTACGATTTAAACCTATATGACATAATCCAAGTAATTTATCTCGAAATTGACCACGTTCCCATAATTCTATTTGAAGGCCTGTTGAACGATCGGGCACGTCGCTTTAAAATATAACAAAAAAATAATTCAATTTTTCATTTTATATTTATTCAAAAATACAGAAACAAAAAACATTTTTTTTTTTACATAAAATCAACGGGAACAAATCAAAAATATCTTTAAATATTTCCTTTAAAGCATTTACTCCTATATGATCGACAGAAAATAGAGGACTTGAACATCTCAAAAAAGTTAAAAACTTTGTTTTGTTTTGTTTTTTTCTAAAAATAGAATGACAAATAATATCATATAAGATTTGTTGAATATTACAGTATATATGAATAGCCATGTACAAGTTTTAATATATAAACAAAGGAAAATAAATTCTTGTTTATTAATGTATATTCTCTTGGGATCTATACAACGATCATAATCAACTAAAATGTAATAAATACGATATAGAACTTTTTTAAAGTTAAATTTAAGATTAATTTCGTAGAGTATTCAACATTATTAAAATATAAATATATTTTTTTCATTTTATCATTCGACGAAAATCAAAAAAAATTTTTTAATTTTAACTTTTATATTTGAAAGAGACAACTGAAAAGAAGTTTATTTTAAATAATTTGTATAATTTTAACTTACTGTTTTTTTTTTTGAAAAGAATAACAATAATATTCTTATCCTTGACTCTACTCAAATCGGGCGTAAAATAAAAGGAAATTCATCTTCACTCTATTTCCGGAAGTGTTGAAAGGAGGTGGTCTTTTTCAAAAACTATTCGACGCACTGTTATTAGGAGAAAGTTTTTTCGATAAGAAAGTACTTATTTTTCTTTTGATTATCTTTTGGAATATTTTCAATTTACAAATAATCTTTTTTGCAAGGTTATTTTTTTGTTTTCATTTTACTATTTTATATTACTTTCAACATGAGGTAAATCATAAAAGATAAATATTTAAAATAAACTAGATTTTTTCTCTATTCATTGAGCAATGCAAAAAAAAAAACGGAACTCTTATTCATAAGAATTTTGGTATTATGATTTTCTTGTCAAGAAAATTAACATTTAAAGTTATATGAAAAAGAAAAAACATTTTCTCAGTTCAATGAATTTTTCAAAACATCGTATATGAAAGATACGATTTTTTTTCATAGCAAGATTAAGTTTCATATTTGAAGAAAAATAAAAATATTTTTATAAGAAATCAAAACTTTTATCGGGGTTTTTTTTTCAAATCAAGCGACAGTTTATGATGCCTTTTTTGAAAACCATTTGCTGATATTGAGCTATGATTTTCAAATTTCTATTAATCGTACTGAGTGCATTATCCGTATTCTACGAACGAGTTGAAGAATATCTCATAATCTACCCTAAGAACTTTTTTTTTAAAAAAGAATCTAGGCCAATATATAGGCTTTAGGCTACATATTAATTTCTTTGACTTATCTTATAATATATAAAGGTTCGCTAATAAGGAAATATGATTCAATGGATTGATGCTCCCTATAAGACCTATCAAATAGTAATTGAACGTTCTTGTTTGTTGAATTTATTTAAAAATAAAAATCATGTCATCAGTTTATATTCGATATTATCGAGATTAGAGAAAATTTTTTAATTTTAAATTATAGTAAAAAACCATGTTCACACTATTGAATATGGGTTACAAGGCTCAGACGGTTTTCTATAGAAATATTTTTAAAGTTTCTTGTTGAAACATATAATGATCAAGCCATAATAATTGTTCGAAATAACACAAATTTTTCCTCTAAAAATTGACGATCTTGACAAAACTTGATATTGACAAATATTTTAATATCCTTCAGCAAATGAAGTTTTTTTTTATAAAGGTGTCATCGATAAATTTTCAATGACACTATACGTCTATTTATTTGAATCTGTAATTCTTTTGTTTTAGGAAAATAAATAATTAATACATATTTTAAGAAATTTTCTTATAGTTCGAAATGTTTTAGCGAGAAAAGAACAACAGATTTCAAGACGAATATTCCTGTTGTTTCTTCTCTCGTATTTTAGGTGAAACATTACTTTGCTATATATTATTGAAATATTTTGCAATCAAAGTTTGTAGAAGAAACCACAGACTATCTTTCAAAAAACAAATCATTCAATTGTCTAAAGTATTTCTACATAGACATAGAGAAGAAATAAAATTAATTAAAAACTTCTCTTTCATTCTGTATGTTTATTAGGAAAAAACATAATCGATAGTATGAAAATTCTTAGGAAAATTTTGTAGAAAAACGTCACTTCGTCTATCAATGTCTGTCTGTTAGATTGAATTCATATTGATTTTATAGCTCATTGTGGTATTTACTTTAGACAGAATGTTTCTAAGTTATAATCACTATAGATCAAATATAAAATGTTTAGGTTATTTATCTTTTACAAATGAAAGAAAAGTAATGAGATTTTTTTATTTGTTGAAATTACAAACACATTCGAATTATTATTTGAAATACAATATCAAATGATTATGTTTAATGGTATATGAATAAAGTTTGTTTTTTCTTTACTCCTCATAGCTAAATAATATGTTTTAGAAATAAAAAAGAAAAAGAAAACCATTTCATTCATTATTTCCTGGTTAGAAAATGTCTTGAATGACAAAATTCTAAATAAAGTATTGTTTCTTGGTAGTTCTATGAAGAGAACTCAGTAAAATATACTTATTTTGTATTCCTTGCAATTCAATGAACAGATATTATTATAATTATTTTCTTATATCATGATAAAATATTTTATTCGTTTTATTGTACTAACCCCACGTCTTCACACATAGGATGGATGAATTTACAAGAGAAAAAAAAAAATAATGAACGCATCATAAACTACGAGACACACAATTATCTATAAGAAGAAATTGTATTCAGTCTGACATTTACATATCCTTTCTTATAGATTATGAAACTAAAAATTCCCTTGATGATAATAATTTTCTTTTTTCCATGTATTCTAATAAAAAAAACGAACAATAGAAGAAACTAAACGCCTCTTATATGAACCATATCAAATGAAAAAACATTTTTTGTCTCTTGCATTGCATACAACAATTAATATCAACATTGAATCATTTATTCTACAAGTGTAATACCATTCAATTTCTATGCAATTTTAGAATTTCAGCAGAAAAAAATCACTCATATATATATAATTAAATATAGTAAAATATTCATTTGCTATTAATATATTATAAATAAAAAACTTTTCTACATTTCCAACAGTAAATAGATTTTATCCCGCATTGTCTTTTTAAAGGTCTATTATTGTAAATCTTTATGAATCTTTCATTTTAAAATTAAACAAAGATTTATTTAATATAAATAAAATTACTTACAAATAAAATTCTTGTTCCCAATTAGGTTGTTGACCTTTCACAACACTTGTAGTTGATTTGACATTATCAATTTTCAGTACAACATAAGAATAATATTCGTCTATTAGAAAAAAAAAAAATAATTTATTGAATATATGTTCATAAGTAAAAATAAAACTAACTGTCTGAAGATTGTATTGTTGCAGATTTGACTAATACACAAAGAAGAAGTGACGCTGAAGATGTTGGTGATGACATGAACACGTTTAATCATCTAGAAAGAAAACTATGTGAAGACAGATTCTGTATTTTATAGCAACCTATCAAATGACTTCTTCATGATGATTATCAGCAGAGTTTTATGTCTTCAATTGACAATCATGGTCCAATGATGAGGAAAATAAATGAACGATCGAGTTCGATTGGTGCATGCATAGATTGACGGCAATAAATATATGTTGTTTCTTTTACTCTGTATTTAAAAGGGAGGATTTTTTTTCGTAGAAAAGGTATTGTAGAACTAAGAAAAAGAGATTAAAATATTTAATCCTATTTGCCGGTCTTAATAACATTGTTGTTGTTGATTTTCTTCGAACTTGACACTTACAACAAATTTCACTGGTACAAAATCTGCCTATTAAATTCATTTTTCATGTATTGTCGAATACTCTTGAAATAAATATATTTAAACAAAACATATTGGTCAAAGAATATAGCAATACCAAATATTTTCTTTCCTAGATCAATTTTGTAAATGTTAATGTGTGGCGCTATCTATAGATCGTATGTTGTACAACAAAGTTCTTAACTAAACATATAATCGTCTGATTATTTATTTATATTTATTTAACTCAGGAAGTCCATCAAGTAGTATTGACAATTGTGTTTTTATTTGAGATACAAAAATGAAATTTTTCATTGTTTCTTAAAGCTAATTATATCTTTCGCTTGCTCACAATTCTTTATAATAGATCAATGTTCATTTAAGATCAAAGGTTGAATACAAGTATGAAAAGACAGTAGAGTTTCATCAGTCATGACTTCGTTTTTAAAATTATTTTACGTTACTTCTCATGTCTAATTCATAATGAAGTTCATCATCAAACATGAACTTTGTTATGATTTCTATCGATATTGTCATTCGCTTTTCTAATTCATACACCAACTAACTATAAAGAAGATTTTCAATAAATAGAAATCTTTTTTTCATCTTCATGAAGCAACGATTATTATTTTTTACAAAATTTGTTATGTTAGTTGCTTCAATAATTTTTACATCGAAGTCATAATAATACTATTATAACATATGAATTATGAAGAAACATAGCTGAACCAATAGATTTTCTGTTAGATAGAGCGAACGATTTTAACTTGATATAATATGTTAATAGATGAATTTTTTTTTAACAAAGTTATATCGGAAAAAATGATTTATTTACTGATAATGTTTTGACTTCTTCTTTTAACTTAGATATGTTTTTTTTCCTGATGTTAACACATTAATTGCTTTAATAACTGCACTATTCGTTCTCTTTCCATGACGTTTCTTTTCGAAGCGATGCATACTGTTAGTCATTTTTATCTTCTCCTAAGCAAGAAACAAAGAACAAAACCATTGAATGTATATGAAACGTCAAAATCGGTAGGTCGTCTCGAGTGAATGGAGATTCATTGTCATGTATTCTTTCTGGTACATGTTCTTCGCAATACAACTATTGATCTCATTTAGTTTTCTTTTTCTTTCTGAATAGGCGCATATGTGAATAAGGAGAAAAAGGGTTTCGCTACCAAAAAAGAATAGAATGTTGCAATAGTTGATGGCAAAAGTAATGTTGCAGGTACTCTCAACAATCAATCAGTTTTTCAAATGGAAAAACAAGTTGAGAAGCAATTTTGATTGTTCATTATCATATACGTATATATTATTGTTTCATACAATGTAAGATTAAATTTTTCTAGTTGGAATCTCAATCCATATCACGCACATGTTTATTTCTAGAACGAATGATAAAATTTGTGTATGCATATATTCAATGGTTCTGTTTTATTTTTTACTTGGTGTATAATTATTTGTCATTATGAACAAATCAATGATGAATAGAGGAATTAAAGAACACATGAGTAGTCATAGTTGCACAGATATGCAATGATCAATTTTCATTCATTCAACATGAATATGCATAGATATACATTGAAAAGGGAAATAACTAAAGATCAGACTCGTCCCAATATCGAAATTGATTTAAAATTGAAATAATACTTTTTCTTTATTTAGTTATCTAAATTATAATAAAATATTCTCCTTACGACAGGGCGTTTCCAGATATCTCTTTCCAATTTCAATGATTTCTTTTTTTCTATAAATACTACATAGAATTCTGGTGAAAATTCTAAAACGACTTAAACTATTATTGAGACTTAAGGGTTGTCGTTGAATTTTTAATATATTTATTTGTCAGAGTTCCTTCTGAGAACTCCTGGTTTGGAAAAATCCATGTTTTTTTAAATTTTTATCTTGACAGTATCTTCATTTGAAGGCTTCATATACAGTAGCATATATAGAGAGTTTCAGAGTTTGTAAAGTACGTATCTCCGAGCAATGAACTTTTCATAAATAGAGATGTTTCTTGAAGTGTAGTGAATAATACAAGAATATTTTGAAAAATCTTTATCTCGAAAATACGAACTCTACAAACTGTGAAAGTCTTCATACAAATGACTATTCATGAAACCTTCAAATAGAAGTTGTTTTAAGGCATTATTTTTCCCGGAACCTGCGACTCAACAGAGGCCTCTGAAAAATAGAAATATTAAAATTTAATAGCTCTGGTGAGTATAAATACGAACTCAATTCGCTTTAAAGTATTCCCTAGAATATTGTACAGGAGCTATAGGCAAAAAGAACCCATTGAAATCACAAGTAAACAACTGGAGAGGTTTCCTTGAAAATGGATAGCACATATTAATCTGAAGTTGCCTTGAAACGAATACCACACGAGTTATCGATGTATTTCTATTGATTCTTTTGGTTGTATGTATTAATTTTCAAAACTTTCGATGATGAAGGATTTAGGAGAAAACTTTATAATAAAGGAAAAGTCGAAGTTAATAATTAGCTTTCATAATTTAAAGTTAGCGACAGATGTCAATACATTAACAAGATAAACAATTTATTGTACAGTACTTGAATTCAATCATTTTACTTTGATAATATTACTCAAAACCTGAAAAATGATGTCTTTTCTTTTCTTTTCTTTTTTGTATTTTAGTATGATAATTTACACTGGATGGTTAAAATCAGAGAAACCATGAATAATTGTTATCAACATACGAACATAACATAAATGTCGTAAGTGAAGACATGATAATATTGGACGAACAAATGGTCACATGAAATAATCAAACCAAAAAGAAAATACAAAAAGCCTGAATTAAAGAAGAAACTAATGAAAAATATTGATTGTAACTGACTCAATAAATACAAAATTTAGAATATACACCATTTTATTGTTTATGTTTAGATCCTTTCATAATAAAAGAAGGGAAGAAAAAAAGAGTAGAAAAATTGAGAGTATATTTTTACATTTTAATCTCAAGGATCAGATTGCACTATTTCATATGTGTATTCCAAGTAAATCTTGGCAGCTTTATTTTTTTTCAAGGATGCTTGGAGAAGAATTCATTATGATTGCGTGATTGCTCACAAAGTCTCGCGGCATTTTCTGTTTTTACGATTCAATGATGCTGATTTTATTTTTAAATGATTTTGCTACAGGATAATAGCTCTAGTTCATCTACTGTAATCCCTTGATATCTTTTTTTTCTGCTTCACTTGTGGATTCCTTTACGCTTTTCTTTTAAAAAGATAAATGTAGAAAGTTTAAACGAAGTTATTCTTCATGTCGTAGAACATTAGTCTTCTATGCCATTGTTAGTCTTTGTACTTTATGTCTGTTTCGATTTGCTTTCTAATTTGTATTAACTAACTCTTGAGAACTATAAATAAAAAAGGTACTCATAGATATAAAGCTTTATTAAATTGAAGAAGAATAATTAATAATGGAAATTTGCTTCAAAAAAATATTCAACAGAGATGCAGATAAATCCAGATTTAGGATGGATGGTCAGTGGTATTTGCAGAATTATGATGATGTGCTCAGTTGTCACGTTAAACACATTGTGGTCATGAGAAATGTTAGTCTTTTAAAGAAGATTTATATGAAAGCAGAAATAAAATAATAGGCAGATATGAATCAAAAACATATATTTAGAAGTTTATCTTCTTAACGAATTCTTTATACTAATAAAATATCAATTAAAACTCAGTAAGTCATACGTTGTCTGGGATAGGTTTCACAATAAAAACTTCAGCGCTACTTAGTTTTTCGGCTTTCTCATTCGACACTCGAGAACTCGACTTGACTCGAGTAGAGTTTTGATTTTTCTGACTCATTTCGGTCTATGTTATCTATGGCACTGATGCTATTTATCTTTGTGTATAATTTATTCATCGCTGGATTAGTAGTTGTTATTATAGTATTGACAATGCCGTATATATAGTATTTTCCACACTGCTAGATGAAACCAATTAGTGCATGCATGTAACAGTACGACGAGCTGTATTTCGAAAATAATAGATTATCGGCTCTGCTTCATTTTTTTCGTTTGAAATAATTAAATAACCCTTGATTTAGCCAGTAATAAGAAAGATTAAATATAGCGCTCATTTTTTTCATATTGAATACAATCTAATTTCTTGTTTTACAATAATCTCTTTTCATTTCAGACCGTAAGCGCAGCTTCTATATGACTTATCTAATTGTCCTTACCAAAAAGAAACATTCTCGAACTTCTTTTCTTTTTCATTGAAACAATTCAATTCTTTCGATTAAATCATGATCATTTTACCCTTTGAGTCCCGGCGACGTATATATACGTCCCGCTATTTGGCTTAGAATATCGCCGATTTTTGAATATGTATGGATACTGTTATTAAACGAACATGTCATTAGCTTATTCTTGGATTATTTGGAAAATTGTTTTATTTGTTAGGTCACGGACTACCTTAGTGAAATCATCCTAAGAATCAAAGGGTGTCCCAGAAATTCTGAAGTAATTTTGAAATGCATCGTTCTCACATTCAACAGAAGCAAACTCTTTGAAACTTTGGTAGATGATTGTACCTACGTAGTTCTAAATAAGTGCAAAGTTTGAGGTCTATAGCTTTTAATATGGGTGAGAACCTATAACAACACTATCATGCACTTTTTTTTTCAATTTTCCTGACCATGTTGATTATTATTTTCAAAACAATACAACTTTTCGAAATCAAAAGAAACATATATCAATTAATCAATGAGTGGCGTCGCCAGAAAAACTTCGTAGAGGGACCTTCGCCCCCATTTTTTCTGAAGTTAAACAAAAATGACTCAAGTTTTTCTCGAACAGTATAATGAAGATGACAATAAAGATATTTAAATGTTCAATCCTTTATTATGTAAAAAAAAAATACAAACACAACAACAAATCTAATTGATGCAGCATAATTCTACTATTTTTATGACTAGCTGAGAACTGATCAATAACTTGTTCAAAATTCACTTGAAAATAACGTTTAATCGATAAAATACAAATATCGCTTAATCGTTCATCTGCCATAGTGTTTCTTAAACGAGTCTTGATTAACTTCATCTTTGAAAATACACGTTCACACGTGGCAGATGATATCGGAATAGTAAGTGCAGCTTTAACCATTGACACCATATTGGGAAATGCTTCTCGTAATGGCTTTATTTCATGGTATAATTCAGTTGCATTTGATAATTTTTTGTTTACTAACATTGGTCTAAGAACTTGTATTTCATAAAATAAATGATTTTGGTCACAATTAATATGTATTGCTAAAGGCAATGAAATATCATAGTTTAAGAAATTCTTTCTTTGTGGAGATATTGCTGATACACTTGATAATACGGCAATATTTGAAGCTGAAGAACGATCACGCATTTCTGCTAAGATTGCATCAATTAATGGATAATATATATTATATCACGATAATCATCTTCATTTATAATTTCTGTTCGATGTCCTATTGTACTTGTCAAAAAGGTATCTTTAAAACGAGTTGGTATTATTTTTGGTCGTTTCTGTTTTGATTTTTGATTCATATCAATATCATACTTTTCTGCAAAATTCAAGATATTAAAGTACATCGTTTTATATGATTTCTCATTTCGATCACATTCAATTTGTTCAATTACTGATGTAATCAACTGTTGACTTTCAGCATAATCAATTGATTCACCTAAACGGATAAAAGAACCTGTCACGTTAAGTAAAGAAAAGGATGTTCTTTTGTACGAGTGCATTGATTTTTAACTACCTTTCAACTGATCCGACAAAATTTTGATTGATCCAAATAATTTATTTAATGCGAACATAATAACAATAAAAACTGGCTCTTGTATAGCCGATAATATACCTCTTGCATCAATAGAACGATGACCATCTTCGTCAATAAGATCTTTAAGTGCAACAACAATTGATTCATAATTGACCATAATAGCATGAATTGAACTCCATCGTGAGTCCCATCGAATATCTGACCATCCCTTGAGTTTTCAAGAAGCATATCTACAAAATAAAAAATATTAGTATGCGATAATTCTTCGATAAACACGTATACTCAACGCTAACTTTTGTTGAGCTATCTGATAGTATTCATTCGTTACCGATGAAGAAGTGAAATAAGAATGAATTTTTGATATAATATGATAAAATTCATTAATATATTGTACAATCTTACTAACATTGACAATTGCGAGGTTAAGTCTGTGCGCATGGCAATGTATATAAATACCATTAGGCATATGGTTTTGACGAAGAATCGTTTGCAGACCAGCGAGTTTGCCCGCCATTGCTGATGCCCTGAGGTAAATTAATAAATTCAGCAACTATGTTTCAAATAATTATATATCACAATAAATTTTTACCCATCATAACACTGTGAAATACATGATTCCAATTTAATGCCATATTTTATTAAATAATTTGCAATTTCATTAGATAATGTCTGAGCATCGAATTCATGTAATCGAATCAAACCAAGAAAGTATTCTGGAATAATATCTTTATCATCATCTGTATGCGCCACTACTCGTACGACTATTGACAGCTGTTCGTGGTCACCACTATCTCGACTTTCATCGGCCCATAAAGCGAACGTATTTCCTGTAATCTACGAGAGGGAATGATGATTAACTACAAATTAATCCGTTAAGTAAAAAAATGTTACCGTTTCTGTTATTTGTTGTCTAACTTGATCAATCATAGTTTTGATTAATTCGTTTTGAATACCTCCTGAAAGATATGTCGAATTTCTTGTCGTATCTTCAAAAATCGATTTTACAATTGGATCAGCTAAAGAAGCCCATTTCAGTATTTCAAGGAAATTGCCTTTATTTGAAGAACTATAAAATATTACTCAGTAAAATAAATCTATGTTTATACCATATATTACATCCATTGAATTTACTTTTCACTTTCATCATGTCGTCTGATTGCAATTGTTTGTCTTGCACATAATAATAAAGCTGATGCAATTTTAATCAATCGTTCTCGATTTCGACGAATTTATTCAATTCGACTTNCGTTTTTTTGTCTGGATAATATTCTTTTGAAGTTATCTGAAAAAGATATCTGTACTAAGCATAAAAACACACAAAATTTTTCATTAAATTATCAACCCATCCCGGAGTCGGGTTCAATTCATATGCCCTCAGGGCGCCCTGCCCTGCCCGGTCCTGCCCTGAGGGTAGGTCAGGGCAAAAGAAAATTATATGTGCTATTGTCAGGGCAGGACAGGGCAAGATGTGACAGGGCAACAGGACAGGGCAGGGCAAAAAAAGTGCCTTGTGACGGTCTCTGATACCGACGCATAAAAAATCAGAGGAAAATTCAATCAAAATTGGTTGCTTTGCTATTGTGGCGCTTTTTTCTCAGCATCTACCATATGATGTGTTTTGAGAGTTTTCTCGGAAACTCCATTATATGCTAGTGTATGAGATATAGGAGATATAGAGATATTGGAGATATTGATTAACTGATACAGCTAATTATTCAATAGTGTTTGAATTTAAACATCTATTCATAAAATATATTGGTGCCACTTGCCAATACTTGCTCGAAAAAATCAATTCCTGTACCTCCTTTATCTCTATATCTCATATGCTAGCATTTAATGGAGTTTCCGAGGAAACTCTCCGAATGCCTCTAGTCGCGTCTACTGATTGTTTTTTAATCGATTGCATGTCAATCGATACGAAAATGTTTGAGCAACTCCGGAAACTACAACTTTAGTGTTTTACGATGTTGCGAAGTTGAGTTATTCAAGTTCTACAAAAGAAGTATTTTTTTCCGGCCGAATTAGGCTTTCTGACTATCTCTCTATATATGTAGTGCAAAAACATTATTATCTTAAAAGAAACATTTGTAAACTGATGTAAAACGTAGTTTTACTATTGAGTTCTAAAAAGCTTTCATTCATAGAAAATTTCAAAAATTTTCCTTACAATTTTCTCGCAGGAGACTTTTTTAATGACAACAATAGACTAAAATGATTCTTTCAGTAATGAAAAACTATTAAAAACTCCATGATATGAATTAGAAATTTTTAACAGTTAACCACGATTATATAACTATTTCTACTGCAAGAAACGAAACTCTTTTTCTAATTTAATAAAAACTTTGGTCATTTCCTGTTGTTGTTGCTTCATAAAACGAAAACGTTATTTCATAGAATTCCTTATACTTTCTTGATCAACTTTACATCAGAAGCAATTTCGCTGGTCAATATTCATCACTGTAAAATAGCGTAGAATAACAAACCATTTTCTAGGTTTTATTACTCTACGCTTTCTTTTTTAGAGTGATGCTCATTATCAAATTTTGGTGCAAGTATTAAATCAAAAAAAGTGTACATAACATGTGAAAAATCTCCACAATTTGTTTCGGAATTCGGTAAAATAGTTAAAATTATTCAAGATAATCATGCAAGCATTGAAAGTCTAATTGATGATTGATGCTTATCCATTACCAAAGATTTATTTAGTAAATTTTCGAATAAAACAAAATCTTTTCTTTTTTTTCTAATTATTCTTTTATTTTTTTGTTTTAGAATCAAACATCAGATAAAGATGAAAAATATTCAATTGCATTTGATATTGATCAAAATGAAACTATATTATTAATAAAACAAGTTAATAAAGTTGAACATAAAAATACCTATATATGTCACACAACGAATGAATTTGATTTAGCTGACATGCATACAAAATTACTTATTCTTATTAGACTTTATTTTATTGAATAATAAAAAGATGCATAGTGTCATGAATTTGTTGAACAATATGCTATTGAATATCAAGCTGAATGTTTTCCAGAACTAACTGTACAATGGACAAGAAATAAAATAAAATAATATTATCATTATCAAATGAATTTCATATTGAAAAAAATCTTTTAATTATTGTTGAAACAAAATTAGAATATACTGAAATTTATGCTGTTAAATTAATAAATGAAGTTGGAGAAATTGAATCATCTATGCAATTAACAATTACTAAAAAACCTATTGAAGTTGGTAATAAATATCTTGTTGATACAATAGATTTAGAAAAAGTTTGGATTAAATTTGAATGTGTATTTGCTACACCAATTGAACATGTTAAATGGATTAAAAATGGATCAGAATCATCTAATAAACCAAGTTTTATATATAAAGGTGAACCAAATCAACGTTATCTTTAATTAGAAATTCATTCATCACCATTTGATGGTAGCGGAGGGTATTCTTGTATTTGTAATGAAAAAATAAATTCTACAGCAATGTTAACAGTTTATGAATTAGCAGTTGATTTTGAAAAATCATTATGAAATCAATTATTAACTGAATATGATACGTTCACTATTGAATGTATTCTAACAAAATCAAATAAACAAGTTCAATGGTTTTTTGAAAATCAAGAATTAAATACGGATGATTGATGTTGTTTTGAAAATGAAGATAATATTCATTGATTAATTATTAATAATATACTACAAAATGATGAAGAAAATGATGGTGTTGCTAAAGAAAGTGATATAAAGAGTTCAGCATTTATTACTGTTATAGGTAAGTTAGACAATTTATATGAAATGTAATCAGAGACAATGTCACAAAGTACATGAAAATTATTAATTGATGAAAATAAGAAAATCTTGAGAAATAATTTTTTAAGAAATTCTTGTTGAATATATTCGTTCATTAACTAATGTTGATATTCAAGAATGTTTACCAGAATTAATTCTTCAAATGTAAACTAAATAAATCTGTTCATGTTGAATGATATCGTTTTCTAACACAATTAACATTTTATACAAATGAACAACGTATGTGTAATTAAACAAAATGATCTTATTCATCGTTTGATAATAAAAAAAAAATATTCGAATGGATGATAATGGAAAATATACATTTTGCTATCCATCTAAACATGCTAATTCATTAGTACAAGGTTTAAATAATGAATATATAATAATAGAAAATGATGATTAAATATTGAATTAAATAAAATTAGTTTCTTAAAATTATAAATCGTTTAAAGATGGTATTATTATTAAAAATAATGAACATATTAAAATAAATGTTCAACGTGGAAAATATCGATTGAAATTAATTGCTGATAAACTTGTTGTTCAAGAAAAGTATACATTTCGTATAACTGAAGCTAATCTTCAAGCAAATACAATGCAAAAATAAAAGAATTACCTATTTATTATACACGCTTTGTAAAAGATACATCAATAATTATCGAAAATATACGTGATTATCATCTTGATTGTGATATCAATAAAGAAAATAAAATACCTCAATGTTTTATAAATGATCCATAAGAAAACAGTAATATCAAATGATGAAATTATATTCTATCTAATGGACCTATACATGCTATAACCCTTTACCTTCCATTGACTAATGGAATAGTCATTTATAGAAACATTCCAGAAAAAAAAGAAGCATAGAATTTGAAAATGATAAGAACATGTTTTGTAGTGAACTTCAAGAACTATTGATCGGTAAAAGAAATATTTCTTTTCATCGTTCTGTCTTTGAAATATCGAACTTACAATATCGATAATTTTGCAAAAATTAAAAATAAATCGAAGTTTTTCAAACCAAACGTTTTCTACCTATACCTGATAGACATCTTTTGGAATTTCTGTATGATATAAATCGATTAAGAAGTCCACTGGTGAATGAGATATGTTTCAAAAATTCCATTATAACTCCGAAAATTACAAATACGAAGATACACGATTGACCATATAGCCACTATTGGACAGCTAGAGGATAATCAAGAACGAAGTTAATATATGTACCATAAACCTCAACTCATGAGAAGTTGAAATAGTATTTATGATCAATTAAATATCTTCAGAGATTCTAAATTGACTTAAAGAAAAATAGACCTTTTTTTAAACACATATGCCAAAAAAAATTTATTCTTTTGAGAGTAATTTTTATCTGTTTATTTCTTTCTTTTTTATTATTCCAATAGCACGGGATACATGTTGCTTCTACCCATTCAATGCCGTGATCAAAGATAAAAAAAAGCCTACCTACGTCATTCGATTCCCTTTCTTCACCACACGATCCCTGGAGGGTGTGGGTTGGGTGTGAGTGTAGAAAAGACCCACATCCATAGCCACACACCCACACCTACGCCTGAAAAGACAAGTTATTCTCTAGGGATATAGCCACCAGCCTAAGTCAACTGCTTAGATCAGTATGTGGATTGACCAGTGTAGAAGAGCAGAGCAAAGCATTTTTTATCTTGCTGTACAAGAACTTCATTGATACCATTCACAGTAATTTGGTAGGACTTTGTCGTAGCTCATGTTTTTGAAATATCAACAATCAATGCTTGTAGAGTAACGAGACGTTCGAATGGAATTTATTCGACTGTCCACAAATCATTCGACCCGTGATAGCGCGCATCGAGATGCGTATCTATATGTTCGCTGGCGACACAATTCTTCAATTCACTGAAGAATATAATTTTTGTGTCATCATGTTGCCAAGAGGTTACGCTTTAAGTCAATCTGATAGATGTGAGACCCTGAATGATTGAATTTATTGAATTGATGATGCATAATAAACTGAGAATGAATAAAGAAGAACTGAATTCGATGCAAGCACCAACAAAGACGACAAGAGCCCTGATTTATCTCTCAAAAAAGCTTCTGAAAAATTAGGATTTTCTTTCTTTCTCTTTTCTTGTTCGCTTGTTCTATTCGTTTTCTTCTCGTTATGAAACGTGCTTGCACTGTGATTATGCAAGGAGAGACAAAAATTACAACGAAGAAAGGTAACTAACTTATCTTAATAACTGGCAATTTTGTTTTTGTTCTTTTTTTCTTGAATGTTCTATGTTACTTGTTGATTGTGCAACCTTCAGAATATAATAGCACGTGTGTTTGTCGACAAATCTCTGTACTTTCCATTTTTGATCGTCATCGAGTGTTGTGCATTTGTCGCATTCTCTCGGCTGGTACCATCTATCAACGATGATAGATTGGAAACGAGTACTCTCGTTCGTGAAATAACTGCTGATGCATCAAATGACGTACTTCGTATCAGTTTGAGCTTTTCATGCTTGAACTACAAAGAAATCGGCTTTCGATGTGTTTCGATCGAAAACGAAACCCTGCTCTTGCTGCTCAAAACGGCGCCTTGGGTCTGATCGTGGGCATATTGAAGGCCACCCGTGTTGACAAATGTTGTTGTCTGTGTCGATTTACTAAACAATGCACAGTAGCACAGATCGTCTTGTCGGTGGACCTTCACATCTTCGTCGTTTATTCGGAAGTCGAGTTGTGAAGAGACGAAGATTTGTGTTCATTAGTTAAATTCACGGCACATTTCTGAGAACATTCGTTTTCATTTCAAATTAGAAGTATACTGAATACAAAAGTGCGTTGTGTTTTCTTCATTTATAGGCATGCTTTAGTTCTTTTGTAACTCAGCTATTGATTTTAACTTCATCATTATCAAGATCACGAATGTTGATGGTGATCATTGATTTTATTTCATGTCCTTTGATGTAAGAACATTGACTACTACTGTTTGTGAGATTGAAATCCATTAAAAAAATACAGTAGTATCATCTGATGTTCTCTTGTATAGAATTCATGTTTCTGAAGATAGACTATCGTTCAAATGAGTAACTCTTATGAACAGATTGATAATTAGATTGAGCAGGAAAACGCATGTATCGACTTGGTTGAACTTTAGGGGAGAGAGAGAGAGAGAGTTCTATTTATGATTCGACCATTTATTTATCAAATGTATGACTTTTTGCTTTAGTGATCGGAAGTTAAAATGCAGATGTCTTATTAGGATTGACAGTAAACTAAGTATCTGATCGTGAAAAAGAACGATCAATGTCTGTCAGACTTACTACTACGTAGGATATCAATCTCTGCAACAGGAATAATATCATCGCAGCATTTTCGATCAAGCATAGATGGGAGTAATTATCCGACGACAATCACAGGATTAATAAGAATGAATCAATCAACAGCGTCGATCAAGCGCGAGCGACTAAGATTCAGCGACACGAATTGTTTTCAATAGTAAGAACCTTTGAAGAGGGTATGAAATATTTGTTCAATTTTTGATGAAAACCGAAGGAATCCATATTGAAATCTAAATAGTCGTCGAATTGATGGATCAATGCATCATCACATGTGTCAACTGATCGAAGAAACGAAAGTCAAATAATATAGATGAAGTCATTGATCTAATAACGCTGATTATTGAATCAGTAACGTGTACCCTTGTATCTTTATACAGAACTACCATTGCTGGAAGTTGCAACTCTAGATAAGTTAACAGAAAACGATAAAACTCCTAGCTAGGATATAATTGACATCGATTAATTGATCGTTTTTTGCGTTCAATTCTTCAACTGATGATATTAGCGAATAGAAGAGTCTATGCCAGCAGAATGATTGCATAAATATTTAAAAAACTCGTTTATTTTAGATGCATTTCTCAGTTCAGGGTTAAGACTTTGCGCAATTCGTCAATTTCAACATGATCCCTTGTATTTTCCATTTTATGCGCCCACACTATATCTCCTCGTGTGCTGATAAGATATTCGCCGCCCACTTGATGAATATCACCGCCTTTGAACATGTCCGATCCAGCGGCAATTTGAGACATAGCTGATTTGGCCACAGTAGATAAAAGAGATGACTTGATGTAGTTCGGTTTCTTTTCCCCTAAACTCAGCGTTCGATGTAGCTCAAAAGCATCATGAAGTTTTCGAGTTGGATCCGTGTAAATCGGGAAAGGACATTTCGTATCTTTTGCATACTGTTCGATGGGGTTTGAATGACCGCAACCAATAATGATTAGACGCTTCTGTAAAGTGACAAGTTCTGCAGGAGACAAACCATTTTCTTCCGATAAACCGCTAATGTACTCTTTGCAACTGCCACAAAAGAAATGTCGAATAAATATGATGAGAGTTTTTTCTTTGTCATTGGTGCTTGTATAAAGTGAAGAAAATGGATGTGATTCGTCTTTGGAATCGAGAACAGGTAGGGAAGCTGTCTCTGGTGGAACAGAGCCAAATGCAGAAGCCATCGGAGGTCAAAACAAGCAATTGTGCACGAAATCAGAAATTTAATCAGTAAATAAATCTAAAACCATGAAAATTTAAGAGAATATAAATTTTACTTTCTAGGATAAGGCATCCAATACTGAGTTCATTGAACATATCAATGTGTAAATCTATATGGATGAAAAATTATATCAACTCGATAGAGTTTTATTGAAAGTTCATTTTTCATGAGATATCATTAGTTTCTGACGATGCTACGATTCTTAATAGTGAGACTCTGATGAGATTGAATGAATCTCGTGCTAGAATGATATGAGACTAAGTTCTAAATGTGCTGACTTTTTATGTGCTATACATTGTATGACCTGATCTACATTACAAAAGTTAACAGTATATTGAAAGAATACATATTCATGTGAACTTAAACGAGGCTGTTATTTACTATGATGATTTAATTTATATATTTTGATTTAAAAAGTCAAGCAAGATTTACAAATGAAACAGATAAATACGAAAACTAAAACAAAAAGAAAAATGGATTACGAAATATTTAGAGTATAAGTAAAATTAAAAAAGGTATTATTAATTTTAAAAATCATTTATTTCCTTTTTTTCTTTTGAAGTGCAGTGATTGAGGTAATTTCGAAACTATTGAGAGAAGTGTCAGTCTATTGTACTTATGAACATGAAATATATATGGGTACATAATTATGAGCTGCAAAAGTCTAATTTCTTCAATTAAGTATATAATATGCATAAATTTTTAACTGTGACACAATAATGAATATTTTTCAAAAATTTAATTTAAATAGCTAATGATAGATCAAAATGTGTTGAAATCATTTTTGACTTGGAATATGCAAGCAATATAAACAGTATTTTCTTTTCTTTTATGATGAATTGGAAGAAGAATAGTAAAACTAATGCTATCATCTGTCTCTAACCGATTTCTTTTGTACGTTCATAGTTATACGATATTTTGAGTGGTCCTTATTGCTTATATATAACAAATGTTTTCTCTAAGAAAAACAAAATTATCGAAAGTCTCAAATATGTTTTGTAATCAATGATGAAATAATAATTAAGTTCTCATTTTTTTTTTCTATTGACATAAAGTAGACTTAGAACTGCTCTTGAAAAGATCATAAACTACAATGTGTAATGTTAAATTATTAGTCATACCATCATCTGATATTCATTATAGTTAATATAAAAGTTACTTTTTGAAATTTATTCTTTCATCTTAATTTAAGATCAGAGTTCATCTGCAGTTAAATGACATCCTCACACCCAATTGGTACGCTTAACACAGCAATCAGTATGAATATGATGGTGTCACTAAACTGCAGTTGTACCCATAAACTTCATGAATGTATTCGATACAACTATTCAAATACTTGCAATTATTGAAACTAGAATAAATATTGCAACTTATATATGTAGATGCTACGAATATTCGTTTATACTTTCGAAAGAAAATCCATTAGATAATTTTCGGATCAGGATATCCTAAGTGAGAAAGTTTAAGGTATTAACTCTCATCTTGCAAAATTTTTGTTTTTCCCAATGAAACTGAAACGACTTTCTTCATTTGTTGTGCTTACTAATCCTCATAATAAAGGTCGTTCTTCCCATGTCGTAAACTCTATCTTCTTAGTAGTGATCATATCAAAGAACTGATCAATAAATACAAAAGCAAAGTTATAACTATTGACATCTTGCTATCAAAGCTATGTTCCTGTGCAAAAACCAATATGGAAAAATAACATGCAGACAATGGCAAAAACGTATACATATTCATTTGACTAGATTTATAAAATAAATCTCTAAATTAATTTTCATTATCATAAGTATATCAGAAATTTAAAAAAAGTATGAAATGAAAGTAATTATGATTGTTCTTGTTCGTGTATGTTAATGCATTCGTTGAAAGACCATAAAATTGATTCAAATGAGAATTCTAATTTAATGCGCTGCAAAACAAGAAAAAATATTTCGTAACTTTATGTAGAATTAAAACATATAAACAGAAGTAAAAAGACCATGCTACTTTTCAATAATAACATAACACAACAAGAAAAATGTAAAACACAGTACTGTTTCAAATTTGTAATTACCTTAAGTACTTCCCTTTTGTTTGAGGTATTTAGTACTGAAAATACTGCATAATTTCAACCGAAAAACTACTTTCGTTACTACAATGCACAACATCAGCGCCATCTATTAAATAAAGATCTTTTGTTTGACAATAAAATATAATTTAAAAAGAAACAAATGAAATATAAGGTGATTGTGAAACTTCAAATAGAATTTCTTTCTAATGAAAATAAATAATCAAAACAAAAGATATATTCGATAAAAAACATTTGTTAACACTTTGCTATTGGATATTGATATCGAACCATTGATGATTGGAGTCTTTGTCTTTTCGTTGTTTGTAAATATGATCTCTATATTTCCTAATTAACGTGGTCTGATATTTTATCTGTAATATTGACCATAATGGAGCCTGATTTCGAACGTCGTTTAATTCGATCAATGTCAGGTTGTTCATCAGTTTCTTCATCACCATTTTCATCTCCAGTATCATCTCCATCACCGATCAAGCACAGTGATCGTTTCATTCCACTTCGAAGTTTATCTCAACCATCTGCATTTTATATTGATCAAGAGCAAATTCATAAAGGACCAATGTCAGATAAAAAATCATCTCGTGATTCATCATCAACTACAAATACTGGAACGAATTCTTCTTCGACAAATGGAACAACAATTGCTGCTGATCGAACCAAAGATCTGTTAACATATCAAGCTCTATTACAAAATGAAATGTTTGGTACACATATAGATTGTCTCTATGATGAACAACATATAAGCAATGCCTATTATAATGGTAACAGTAATAATCATCATTCAACAGGTAATACAAATCAATCTACCAGTAATGATACAAACAATAATGGAGGAACAACAATGGTAATTGGTCAAGGTCTAGCAGGACAAATACACACAACAGCAACTTTAGCAATTAATGTAAATGAAGATTTTTTTTTTTTTTTTTTTTTTTTTTAATATAACAATAATAATAATAATTGCGTCTATTTTAGGGTATTCTTACACCATCACTTGGTTTTCTATCTCAATCGTCTCAACAACATTTACCATATACAAATTCTAATTCAAATTTATTACGAACACGTGATCCAAATACAATATTTCGTTATTTTGCTCGTCGTAATACAGATGATTTACATTATTCACCTTATTCTCTTTCATCATTATCACCTGCATCCATTCGTCTTTTACGTTCGCCACGTAAACAATTACGAAAAATTCCTAAAACTCCATTTAAAGTTCTCGATGCACCTGAACTTCAAGATGATTTTTATTTAAATTTAGTTGATTGGTCATCAACAAATATTTTAGCTGTTGGACTTAATGCATCTGTTTATTTATGGAATGCAAATACAAGTAATGTAACACGATTATGTGATTTACAAACTGAATCAGATACAGTAACAAGTGTAGCTTGGAGTGATCGAGGACAATATGTTGCCGTTGGAACTCATAAAGGTAATCGAAGTTTATATTTTCGAAAAAAAAGAATAAATTTTTTTAAATATTTAGGCATTGTGCAAATTTGGGATGTAACAACGAATCGTAAAACGGTTTCATTTCCACGTCATACAGCACGTGTTGGTGCATTAGCTTGGAATGATTTATGTATATATTCCGGTTCACGCGATAGATTTATTTTACAAAATGATACACGTTCAAATAAACAAGAACGTAAATTAGCTGGACATAGACAAGAAGTATGTGGATTAAAATGGTCACCTGATAGACAATTATTAGCAAGTGGAGGAAATGATAATCGTTTATTAGTATGGAATCAATCATGTTCAAATCCAATTCAAGTATATACAGATCATACAGCAGCTGTTAAAGCTATTGCATGGAGTCCACATCAACAAGGTCTTTTAGCTAGTGGTGGAGGAACAGCTGATCGACATATTCGATTTTGGAATACATTAACAGCACAAAATCTACAATCTATTGATACTGGATCTCAAGTAAAATTATTATGCGAAATTTTCTTTTTAATTTCTATTATATTTATTTTAGGTATGTAATTTAGCTTGGTCAAAACATACGAATGAACTTGTATCAACGGTAAAAAACATATTTCTTAAAAATTCTTTTTGTTTAATTTAAAAATGTAAATTTTAGCATGGTTATTCTCAACATCAAATCGTTGTTTGGAAATATCCATCAATGTTACAATTAGCTCGTTTAACTGGACATACATTTCGTGTATTATATTTAGCTGTATCACCAGATGGTGAATCAATAGTGACAGGTGCAGGAGATGAAACACTTAGATTTTGGAATGTATTCACAAAATGTCGTGCCAATAAAGAATCCGACAGTGTACTTAATTTATTTAACAAAATTCGATAATAATCATTATTTTAGTTTTTTTCCTTTTTTTTTCTTTTCATTTATCTATGATGTATCAGTGCTACCACTTTCACAACAGTCTGACGTTTCACTATTTATTTATTTATTATTCTTCGTTGTCATGTAGTCTTTTGGTTTTCTTTTTCTCATTTTATTTCTGTTTTTTTTTTCTTTCCAACGTTTTCCTTTTCATGATATTGTTGCTTTATAATACTTTGTTCTATGAAGCTTATGAGTGTTTTTTTTCTTGATGATCATGTTCATTTTTGTTTCGCCGTGAGTGTGAATGGAATTTAAAAAAAAAGGAAGATAAAAAGACACTTATAAAATTGTTTTTTTTTTTCATCCGTTTAATCCTTGATTTAAAATATGATTGATTCAGTAAAATAGGATGTGAGAAAAAATTTCGAAAAGTAAATTTATCTTTATTTTTTTCTTTATTTGTCGATATTAAAAGATTTGAGATTAGAAAACTAATGCTAATATAGTTTATTTTTCTCATTCAATATAATTGATGTTATTCAATTCAATATTAATCAGTGGTAGGATAAAAATGTTAAAGATTAATGTTTGTTCTTGGTTATTTGAAATTCTTTTGGACATTTTTTTTTTTGATTCTGTGATGGGACGTTGTTTACATTGTAATTATGATCACAATATGACGCTATCGCTTTTTGTTAAGAACGTAAAGATTAAAATTATCAATGAATATCTTCGAAATTAGTATAGATGTCATCAAAAATTTATAGAGTTACTTTTATCATATAACATGTTGATTTTTGTCATAATCTGTATACATATTTACATACTCAAATATGATGAGCTAAATTTGAAGAGTTTTCACTACTTAAAATGAAAAGAAAAATGATCGTTCAACAAAATTCTTTGATTAGGATACATAATAGTCGCACTACATCATTATCAAACATTTAATGTCATTTTATTAATACTAAATAGATGTAATACTGATCAGTTTTTCTAAATCAGCGTGATGAAATTTCATTTTTTTTATACTGTCACATCGATTTCTCGTCAATAGAAAAACCAAATCCTTTTAAGCTTTTTTTATAGATAGACACTATTTAGATCAACTACCAGTTGAAATTTTACTGATTTTTCTTTAACTGAAACTGAGCTATTTAGAAAATACTCGCCGTTAAGGAATTATAAAACATGGAATTCGTTTTAGCGGAGCTGATAGGTGAGCATTTTATAACGAAACGAAGTAATATATAAATAAAATTTCTATACAAAAAGTTGTTCAGGTTTCAACAAGATTTTTCAAAATATCAGATCATTTCTTGATAAGCATAGCTGTAACGAATAACTAATTAAAAATATTTTTCCGTTCCGTAATTTCATCCTTTTTTCAAAAATCACAGTTTGGACTAGAATAACAGTATAAGCAGTTAAAAGCAATTAAATATTCATCATCAACATTGACTTCTGTATGAAATGATGGATTTTTTGAATAGAATGCAACGAAAACAATTTTCAACTTTTTCAATCGGAGAAATATTCGCGAACAATAAAAGTTCAGATTTTAATTGACAAAATAGTGTATTTTGTTCAGAATTCAATGCTAATTCCCAATATATCCAAATATGTGCATAATTATGAAAAAAAAAACAGTGCAAAACACTTTATCGTCTAAAAATACAGCAAAGTATAAATACTAATGAAATTTTGTAACACAGTGTTTCTAGAAAACAGATGCGAATATTAAATAAAACAGTCCTCAAAATGAATATGTCCGATAGAAATTGTTGAATTCTATCTAAGAACGTCGCTTTTATTGTGAAAATTATCAATGTAAGCGAGTTTCGTTATGGAATTTCATCAAAAGTAAAGATACCTTTTGAACCCATTATTTTGGTTAATAGATATCTAACATTTGTACATAGTTCATATGTTGAAATTGAAAGAATATATCGTGTCCGTTCAATTAATAACGTAATTCAAGAATATTTTTTTCTGTTAATCGATCTTTGTTTGATGATGTCTACTGCTCACGAATAGAAACGCTTCCATTTTAAATCCTATCGATCGCTCTTGTTTTAATGGTGGATTCAGCTTTTTTTTTTCACTTTTAAATTCGAACCTTCCACATGTCTAAGTGACTGGTGGTTGATCACGCCGAAATGTAAAAATTTATTTTTACTTCATAAACTATTTTCTTTAGATGTCAAAGGACACCAATCAACAAGTCGAGCGTCAACGTATTGTCATTGTACCAGGTATGGGATGTGTACCTGTACGAGATTGTAATTGGTATGCATGGCTTGAACAAGAACTTACAAAGAATCCATCTGGTCAATTTTCTGTTATTCTTGAAGATATGCCTGATCCTCATGGTGCTCGTGAATCTCAATGGATACCATTTATTCGAGATACACTAAAATTTGACGAAAAAACCATTTTAATTGGACACAGTTCTGGATGTGAAGCAATCATGCGATTGCTTGAAAAAGATAAAGTACGTGGAGTGATACTCGTGGCAGCCTGTCATACTGACTTAGGTGATGAAAATGAACGAGCAAGTGAATACTATAATCGACCATGGTATGTTGGTTGTTATTTTTATGAAAATGATAAAAATTAATTAAAAATTTTTTCAAGGAATTGGGATGCTATACGAACTAATACAGAATGGATTGTTCAACTTCATTCACCAAGTGATAAACTTATTCCAGTAGTAGAAGGACGTTTTGTTGCTGAAAAATTAAAATCTGAATACATGGAATTAGAACGTCGTGGTCATTTTATGGGTAAACAACTTCCAGAAATACTTTCTGTTATAAAGAAAAAATGTTGTGTCTCGCAATAATTCTATCTGATGTTCAAATTGTATTATGTTGTTACAGAAAGTTTTTATAGGTTATAAAATTCAATGGTGAAGTATTGTAATGACAAACAAACTCATAAATAAAATAGTTTTATTTAATAGGCCATGGAGAAAAATAAAGTTTATTATTGATAAAGTTTGTGTTTTGTGATTTCTTTTTCTCGGTGGCAATCGTTTCAAAACAGATATTTTTTCGGTGTCGTAACGATGCTGAACGATAGAAAAAACGATGGTAAGTTTCTCTAGATTAGAATTATGGAAAAAAAACTAGTTAGAACAATGAATATCTTGATCCAGCATGCATCCAGTGTCAAAACCAACTGGTACTTTATTCAAGTTGTACAGAATTAAAAAACGATCATAGCACATTTCATGTCCCGAGTAATAGAATTCTCAAGAAGAGAATACTGAATGTTTGAAGAAAACTTTTATGCTTAATAAGATTAATTCATATCTGCATAATTCTATTCTCAGCTTCTAAAAATTACAAAATATAATCTTGTTGAAAAATTGAGTTTTCTCATGTCACATAAAAATTTCTGATTGGACCAAAAAAAGCTATAATCCTAATAGACCAGTTTTCACAATTATTCTCATGGTCATTTTCTCTCTTTGCACTACAAATGAATATTTGATTTTCAGATAAAATTTTAAAAACGATAAATTTTTGCAAGTGTCGACTTAATAACATATCTAGAGAAATGTTCTGTGGAGCAGAATTGAGTTCCTAAAAATGTCTTTGAAGGAAGTGAAGACTTTTGATCACGTTTCTCGAACATTCTCTATTACTCATGTTGCATTTTTTTTGCACATCACAATTGGTATGCATCTCATTTTCATCAAATTTCAATCATATGGGTGGATCTGTTTTATACAGAACTTAGTTGTTTGTAGAGAAGTCGACTAAGTTCCTAGCTAGTTATACTATTAGGATGTTGAAAAGTGTAATGTAGGACTTGATCTAAAATATCTGTATCTGTGTCTGTCAGGGGCGTACCCAGGAATTTTCTGAGAGGGGTGCCCGACTCATTATGGGGCTAGATACTAGCAGAAAAATTAATTTTTGTTTCCCGAAAAAATCTTTTACCCGTACCCCCCTCCAGGCTTTTTTTGGCTGAGGGGGGTGCCCGGGCACCTGAGGGCACCCCCCCTGGGTACGCCCCTGGTGTCTGTTATTTATGTTTACAATCAGTGCTCTTAATGAAAGAGTATATCTTGCAAAACAAAGTATATGGTACTCTAATCAACACCTATCTACATATTACATTTTCTACTAAACTTATTTCTTACTCCTATTTTAAAACTCTTCATCTTTCGTGAAGTTTGTACATGAGATTTTTATGTTAAAGTTTATCCGTTTTTTTTTCTCGAGACCATTTCATTTGTTAAAATAGAATTGGAGAATGGTTTCTACACAAATCGGTCTTATATGAAAATCTCTCGGAAACCAGTCCCATTTATTGTATCAGATAGCTTCGTCGACCCTTCGAGAACAGATTTGAATCCAGGATAGTCCAGCGTGCTCCTTATGATCACGAGATTCGTCTGTGAAAAAAGCGATATATTTTCTACATAAAGACAGTTTTTCAAGAGATAGAAATTGATGGCAAAATATGTAGAAAAATATATTGCGCTCGATATCCTCTGAAGATCACACTGGTAGAACCCTATGAGGAAGACCTATGATCTAGATGCTTTGGCCATAGGATCGTCACTATGGTGCATAGAACTGGTGCTAACATCTCAGAATAAAGAGAGTCTTGCTAGCGCTATAAAATAATGCGAAGATATGGATGATAACATATTTGCTCGTAAAAGAATCAAAAAGTCGAAACAAACAATACTCGATGTTGTCATCAAGTAATATCATGGTAGATATTATTGACTTAATTTGACTGACGATTCATCTGAGTTATGAAAGCCATGAAATTAAAGACCTGGCTTGTCAACGACTTAATCATGAGGTTCTTTTGTACTTTGCTCGAATCGTAGACCTCTGTAAGGGATCGTGCATCAGCCAATTATGGTGCATTCTTTTCATTAGCTTGGGAAGTTATACATGATAAGTAGTTTTATGATAGAGAAGTCCCGAGGTTTATGTAGATATATTATAGTGAGGGTGGAATGTTGAAATGGTTATGTTATCATCATTGGA